TTAGTAAGGCTTAATTTCCCCCTTTTTTTGGTTAAAAATATGCATTTGTGAATAGAAGCCTAAATATTTTAGTTTGGAATTTCAGTGGGATCTCTCGACTCCCATTTTGGAGACCACAGCTATAGATGTCATCTTAAAATATTTGTTTTTAACCTTAGAAACTTTTTAATTTAAGTGAACATGAAACTCTAATACTTAAAAGGAAAAGTAGCTCTGATAAAATGACTCTGGTCAACTTTAATCAGGTGGGGACAGTAGAGTTCGGATCTCTGATTATTTGGCATCTTTCTCTGCTGCCTCCTTAGGCAAGACTTGAAGATACCTCTGTAAAAACCTAGTTTTCATGACACACAGTTGGAAACATTTTTGCCACACCTCATTCTGCAGGGCTTCCCTCACCAACACTTGCTTCATCTTTAGTCACGAAGGAACCAGAGCACTTTTCAAAAGCTGTGACCAGCAATAGCTCATTGAGTTACCTCACATGACCATATGCCACATCTTATCCTGGGATAAAAACATCTAGCAGAGTGAATATGAAACAGCAGCATTTCAGCCACTAAAACTCTAAGGAAAAAATATTGTTTGGGCTGGAAACCTTTCCTATATATTCCCTAGTGACCTTGAGGTTGAGGATATGTAATAAACTCGTATGTTCCCATTTGTTCTTGTAAAAGTAGTATGTTTTTGAAATGCTGCCAGTAAAGAAAATTAGAAATACATAAACTGCTGTGGTCTGGATTAGAAATGTTCTCCAAGGCTTGTTTGCCAGCTGATGGATTTTAGGGGAAGCGATTACATCGTGAAGGCTCTCTGGGTTAATACATCCATGAGATCATAATTTGATGTCATTATTGGGAGCTGGAGCTGTCATGGTTACTTTTCTTGTTGCTGAGACAAAATACTCAACATCCAAATTTAAAGGGGGAAAGGTTTATTGGCTCACAGTTTGTAGAGGTTTCAGTCCATAATCAGCTGGCTCCAAGGCAGGGTGGCGTGGCAGTCAGGCATTGCAAAGCAGAAATGGTTCACAGCAGGCAGACAGTAGCAAAGCAACAAGAGATGACCACAGCGCTTTCTAGCTGTTATATCTTATCCAGGCTACTTAGGGCAGGTAGCACTCACACCCTTAATCCTAGTGTCTGTGATCCTAGTATTGCACCATGAATCAATCCCAGCATCACACACTCTAGATCCAGCCACCTCTGAATAAGTCCCACCGATGACTGCATGAGGCTTTGGGGAACATCTAAACATAAGCCATAACATTATAGAGTGATAGAAATAGGAAGTGGACTTAGTTGAAGGGAGAGGATCATGGGTGTTTGACCTTCGTGACTATGCCTGACCTTCCCAGACCCCTTCCTCTGACTCTTTCCCTTTTGTCTGCTTCACAGATGCCATGAAGTGAGTGGCTTTGCTGTCAGGTCCTTCCACCATGATGTTTCTGCCTCACCTCAAGTCCACAGCTCTGGAGCCAGCCAACTATGGACTGAAAACCTCTGAAACTGTGAGCCAAAATAAATCTTTCCTCCTTTAAGCTGTTTGTCTCAGGTATTTTGTTACAATGAGAAAAAGCTGAGAAATGCATAAGCCAAATAAAAATTTAAAATAAAAGGAAAGTACTAAAAAATGATCTTATATGAAAAGTATCTTAAGATGTCAGGAAATGGACTATCTATGATAGTCTGTTAGCCAAGACAAGAAACACCAGCTGCTATAATAATTGTCCTGAGGGCGTCTGGCTTAATGCACTAAAGATCTACTTCTCACTGACACCGCAGTACAATGCACGCTGTGAGGAGGGTCTGCTGTAACCAGCCACCCAGGGACTGGTTCCACACTGCGGTGCCAATGTTGTCAAACAGGGATTCAAGGCTGACTGAGCTTCCTCTGATTGATGGATGGAAAAAAGGAAGCAGAGAAGGCATATTGTCTCTCAACTGCTCAGTTAGAGTGCATTCCATGGGTGACAACTAATCATGGGGCTCTACTTGTATGCAGAGTTTAGGAGACAGTTTAGCTATGTTGGCAGAGCAAATGGGTTTGTTATCACCCGGCCAGAGTTGTCACCTATGGGGACTAGGGGGAAGGTGGTCAGGTCTACGCCACTTGGGATTCCCAAGCTATACGTCAGTCTGGAAACAGAAGCCTCTGACTTTCTCCTTTCTACCTGCCTTACCAGAGGTATCTGCACTCCAGCGCTAACTCCAGCTCTAGTTGCTCTTTGAACAAGCCACAATCATGCCCAACTCCACAGCTTTGTGCTGTGCTTTGCATGTCTGTTCATTTCTTTCTCAATATTCCTTCCGGCCCATCTCTTCTTCCAGATCTAGCAAACTCTTACTCATCTTTTAAGACTCAAGACAAGGTTTACTGCCTCTATGAACTTTTCTCTGACGACGCATAGCATAGCATAGACTTCTTAACACTAACTGAACTTTATGCTTGTACTTGCACATAGCACCATTACTGAATGCATTAGCCTGTATTACAATTATTTGTTTTGTTCTGAGACAGGGTCTCCCTGTGTAGCCTAGGCTGGCCTCGAACTAGAGCTCTTCCTGCCTAAGTTCCTGAGTGCTGGGATTACAGGTATGTACCACCATGCCTGGCTCTGTATCATAATTATCAGCATATTTTCAAAAGGAACAGGTGTGTTAATGTTCATGATCTAGTGATTATCAGTGAAACTTAGCTTCTCGAGAGCAAGGGGTGAATCTTAAGCATCTTAGTATCATTCATGTCTACCTAGCACAGGCCTGGCTCATACCCTCCTTAACTGAGGAAAAAATGAATGCTTTCTCCCTTCCTGCAATTTCCTGGTTGTCACAGATCTGGTATCTGTTTGCTCATGTATGTTTTGTGCTACGCTAAGAAACACATAACATAAATTTTACCATCTTCACCATGTTTTTGGTGTTCGGTACAGTAGTGTTAACCATATGCATTTTGTTGTGCAATAGATGGCTATAAGTGTTTCATTTTGCAAAACTGAAACTCTGTGCCTATTGAACAACACCCCTTTTCCTCCACTCCCAGCCCCTGGTAAACACTGTCCTACTTTCAATTTCCAAGAGTTTGACTAGCTTAGATACCTCATGTAAGTGAACTAGTCCTCTTGGACTAGAACTTAGCATGATATTCTCAAAGTTCATCTGTGTTGTAGGATATACCTGGATTTCCTTAATCTTTAAAGGCTGATGAACAGCTCCTTGAGCCCAGTATAGTGCAGATGCCCAAAGTCCTAGCTACTTAGAAGCTTCAGGTGGGAGGATCACTAGTGGACAAGAGTTCCAGACCAGCCAGGGAAACGCAGTGAGAACCTATCTCAAACAAAACATTATTTCATTGAATTTATATCACATTTTCTTTATTCAGTCATCCATTTTGTGTCTTTGTGTTTGTCTTGTGGGTTCTTGGAGGGGACTGATTGAAAAATTATATTTGCTTTGGATCTATGAGAAAAGGTGATGTATGCTTGAATTTTTCAAGGTAGTTGAGGTTCTAGAGACTAAAAGAAATTATACTTAGTGCCAAGGGAAATTAATTTTTGAAAAATCAGTGACTACATAGAGAATGTCTCCCATTCTACCCCATCTGAGCATGAGAAACTATTTTCAACTGAGCAAAAAGGACCCGGAATAAAAAGCTCTAAAGGCCTCTGTAGTGTTCATTACCCTTCTCAGTACCTCATGCTTCATACACTCAAAATAGCTCTGTTGAGGAAAGAAACAGTACAATTTTAAAGTAGGGCAAAATAAAGGGTAAACAAGAACCCTTTACGTGTGAGAATTTTAATGTTTATGGAGGAACTCCAGCGTGCTCCAGGCCCTCTGGTATTAGCAGTCCTGTGGTGTTCATTTGCACTGAAGTTAGTTTGGGGCCTTTGAGGGAAACCCACAACCTTTCCTTCTGCATGTCATCAAGAAAGAATCTCAAGTGTCCTCAGGTTAACATGGTTATTATTTTTTTCAGTTGGTTTGCGAAATATTTTTTAATATTTAGCCATAAAGTGTGCTGAAAAATCTCTTAGCAAAGTAGCGTAACTTCCTTTCAAAACGATCACACTAAAAATCCCAGCACTTAAAAAATCTTGCAGTTTTTGGCCAAACATAGCTTGAAATGGTAAATAATCCACCAGAAGTGACATTAGCCAATTAATTGGTGTGCAAACAAAGAACCTTTTCTGCAGCTGCATGAATGCTGCCTTTATTTTTTTCTTTTCTTCCAAGTATGATTTTAGAAAACAGCTGTACTGCGTGTTGACAAATGACAAAGCGGCAGGCGTGGTAGAAACACTTTCGCCCAAGGCCAAGAGGGGGGAAACTTGCGGGGTGGAAGCTGCACAAGGGCTTGGATCCCTCGTCCTCCGCTAGCCTTTCTTCTCCAGTCCACAGTGAGTGGTGGCCGCGTCGCCCCACCCCCTTTTCTGGCTCTGGTTACCCGCAGCCTTTCGAGTTGAACAAACTTGCTGCAGGCAGATTGGCAGCCGCCAGCGCTCGGGCCGGGCGCTGCTGTATTTATTCATTTCTATTCTGCGGCTCCTTTGTGTCCAGCCGCCGCCGCCCGGGCTCCCGGCCTGGGCGGGGAGCGCGTCCCCCGCGTCCCCGGGTCCCCGAACTCCCGGGCAGCACGTGTGGCTCGGCGGGCTCAGGGCCAAGGCCCCGGCCTCCGACGCCCCCCGCCCCCACGTCCCCGCCCCGGGGAGGAGGAGGAGGAGGAGGAGGAGGAGGAGGAGGAGGAGGAGCGGGAGGAGGAGGAGGAGGAGCGGCTGCAGCAGTGGGAGGCGACAGCTGCCCGCCGGGAGGCGCGGGGGAGACGGGGCTGCGCTCGGTGGAATCCTCTCAGGGCCGCAGAGCTACCGCGCGACCGGGACCCGGCGGTCGCGATGTCGATGTCCCCGCGCGCTTGGTGACCGGCCGGCCGCGCTCCGCCCGCTCCGGGCCCGGCGCTGCTCGGCCGCGCCGCGGTGGAGGCGCGCGAGGCGGACACTGCCGGGGATGAGCGGACTGCGGGCTCCCACGCCGCCCGCGGGCCCCGAGAGGCCGTGAGGAGCCGCTTCTCTCCGAGTAGCCGCCCTGCCCTGGGCTCGGAGACCATGTACGTACGCGTCGCCGTCCTGCCATTGTCCCGGCCGGGCGCGCGCCGAGCTCCCGGGCGCGGGGCTGCTGCCCACCTGGCGGCGCGCCCTGACCGCGCGCCCCTGCCCCTCGCCCGCTCTGTGCCCGTGCAGGTCCATTCACATCGTGGCGCTGGGGAACGAGGGGGACGCGTTCCACCAGGACCAGCGGCCGTCGGGGCTCATCCGCACCTACCTGGGGAGAAGCCCTCTGGTCTCCGGGGACGAGAGCAGCTTGTTGCTGAACGCGGCCGGCACGGTGGCGCGGCCGGTGTTCACCGAGTACCAGGCCAGCGCGTTCGGGAACGTCAAGCTCCTGGTCCACGACTGTCCCGTCTGGGTAAGGGGCGGCGGCTGCCCTTTGTTCCCCCCCCCCTTCCCCCACTTCTGTGAATGTGGAGGGTCCACATTACCTGGGTAGAGTTTTGTTCTTACATTTTGGGGAAAATCTTAGGTCCTTTGTTTTATAGGCAGGGGACAGGACCACCGAGAAGACAGCTTTACGACCAAAAGCCCGAGTAAATTCGCAGCACTTACTCGTACTGTTAGCTGTCCCTTCCTTCGTGGACAGCTGACAGTTGAATGTGCCGACCCCAAGGGGCAGGGTCACCAACGTTCACTAGCAAAGAGCAATGCTTTTTCATACCAGCCCTGTGGAGGATAGGGTGATATTAGGGTACCACAAATACAGCCCTCATAGCTCAATGCAGGCTCAGGGACAGTTCAGAAATAGTATCCATGGAAACGGTGGGTGGGGCGAGGGGGGACAGGGACTGAGTCTGAAAAGATTTAGTAAGTGTTTTAAATTTTAATAATGCAAACACATTTTTATATTAGACACTTTGTGTTTAACAGCCCATGAATCAGAAATTGTACTAATTGAATGAAATTGTAGTAAAGTAGATGAAATTAAGCCTGATTCTTGAGTGTTTGATAAAAAGATGAAGGAATTTGCCTCTCGACACATAAATATTTTCAGTACACAATAACATATTAAATATATACATGCAAATGTTTTTATTTAATCCTATTTGAAAATGTCTCATTCTTTACTGGTATTGGTACTGGTATATAAGGCTAAAGATTGCGTTTTTTATAACAGAAGAAACTGTTTGACAAATACAAATTAGCATTATGTGAGATTTTATGTTTAAATAGCAATTTAAAAACGAATCAGGGCTACAGGGAACTAGCATACCTTCTAAAGAAATATATAGAATATATTCTAAAAAATTATTATGCCAATTTCCGTATTATGGGAAAAAAAATCACTTGTCCACACCCATTTTCAGTGAACATTATGTTAATGTGCTAAAATAAGCTAAAAGCAGGGCCTTCCAGTATCAGGAACGCTATTAAACTCTTAGGAACGATGATGGTGCTATCCATAAGAAGCTTCTATGGAGAATTTATTGGCAGGATTCTCCAAAATCAAATGAATTATTTCTTTTACTTTGGCCTTTTCATTCTGAAAGATCTTACAGTCTAAAACCTTATTGGCTCCACATGCAGTTGAACAAATATTTAGTAAGGGCCAGGGATTTAGCTCAGTGGTTCCGCTGCCTGGCTTGCAAGTGCAAGGTCTGGAGTTCAATCCCCGTACCAAAAAACAAAACAAATAAACAAATGTTTAGTGAATAGAGTAAATAAACATAGAGAAAATAATTGGCCAGTTTGTAATGGGTCCTCAAATGTAGTAGATTACGTTTGCAGAGTTCTACATTCTAAGGTGTTTTTTACCCCAGGTGGTAAGTAAAGACCATCAGAGATACTAGAATTGATTGTGTCAGAGGGGGTGAAGGGTGCACAGGTAGTGGGGAAAAAAATAAGAACCAAGATACATCATGTACAAGTACAAGCACCCAATGATAAATGTGAATGTATTCTATACCTAAAATGTACCAATAAAAGAATTTAAGAGGAAAAAAAAAAGGAATATAAACTTAGAGCAGATAGAGCACAAGTTTTAATACCAAAAGGACATGAATTCAGATCTCTACAGTGCCACTTGGTGCCTTTGTGTCTTTGGTAAATCATTTACCTTCTCTTGGCCTTAATTCCCTATCTACAGAGCAATCATACTAATCTCTGCTGCCTAGGGTTGTTCGAGGAATAAGCGAGATGTTATGGGTAGTTTTGTAAACCCAGAGGCTGGCTTCACTGGGAGTAAGCAGTAGCTACTCTTATTACACGGTGTTTATTATACCCTTAGTACAGTCATGTGTCACACTAAACAGCTTCCTAACATCAGTCAAAAATTTATGCCAATAGAGGACATGGGACAGCAATTTTAGTACCTAGTCAGTGCTGTATTTACAGTCCCACAAGTAGAATAAAATTATTTTGTTGTAGAAATTTAGATTTTTTTTTTTTTTTTAAAGATGAGCTCAGTTCTCCAGATGTGGCGCCAAGCCCTGTGTTGCATAACCCCCTAGAGGAAATCCTGGAACTGATTTGCAAGGGGTGGGAGCATTTGATTTCCTTCATAATTCTCTTAAGTCAGTGGAGCATTTTCTCTTTGGCATAGCTCGAGAAGCAATGTGTTGTTACTGCCTTGGAGTTGGAATGAGGTAATTGTGCTTCCCTTCCCTAGTTATTTTGTGTAGATCCTTGACCTTACTCTGACTCCTTGTTGTACATAGTTGGCATTCTTAAAATAAATGTGCTTCACGTTTATTAGATGTAGCCTATTATTTAGTATCACTCTCCCATCAGCCTCTTTTTTCATGCAATTATATTATTTCATTTCTCATTTTTAGATGTTTCCTGTTTACCAAACATGTTTTGTAAAAAAGCATTGAAGTAGTACAGTCACAATTGTCTTCTGCAGGTTTTAAGCTCCATTTTTTTTTTTTTTTGACAAGGTCTCGTGTAGTTCAGACTGGCCTAGAACTCACTGCAAAGCCCAGGCTGGCCTCAAACGTGGCAGTGATCCTCGGGCCTCAGCTTCCTGAGTGCTGGGATTACACAGTGCCACCGCACCCAGCCTCGGATTTGTTTTGCAAATAAAAGTACTTAGAGTCTTTATATACTCAGTACGGTAGATTTTAATGATGCCTGAACCTTTTTTTTTTCTCGAGAGAGGGTCTTACTGTGTAGTTCAGGCTGGCCCCACAACACACTAGCCCAGACTGGCTGAGCCGCAGCCTCCCGAGTGCTGGGATTACTGACAGGCATACACCACCACATCTGGCTCCCAAACACATTTTTTTCCCCATGATATTTTCCCTTAAATGTCTCTTTTCCCATATACCTCTCCAGCAACTCTGGAATTTTGAACTCTTTGCAGTGTTTAAAGGAGCTACTTTTGATTTATCCTCTCAGAGTTACATGGCTACTGAGTATTGGTCCCACTTACATTAAATTTTGAATCCTATTTTTCTGACTTTGTCTTCCTATTTTTGTGGTGTTACTATGTTGTACTTGAATACTTTGACCTTGAATAGTGTGACAGATACAGTTGGTACTGAATGGGTTTTGTGGTTTGGAATTTGGAAGTTAGGGTGGGGTTCTTTTGGGCCATGTAGCAAATGATTCTGTCTTTCCCCTGTACACTCTACCAAGTTCAGGCTTTTCCCTTTAGTGTTGGTAGTCCCGTTTGCCTTTTTTGTGTGTGTTGTTCATTTAAACTTCCTTCAAACCTGCTCTATCCATTCCACTTTCAATAATGTATTTATGTCTAAAAATTCAGGGATTCTCAGAGGGTGCTTGTGAGAGACAGACGGGGGGTTGGGTATAGGGAATGGGGAGGCATTTGAGTTCCAAACAGGCATTTCTATGGAACGTGCCTCCATGGCAAACAGAATTGTCCATTGTAGGATGAAAGGTCTGTCTCATCAATTTGATCTCGACGAGTTGATTAAAACGCTATTAACTCCTGTTTTGGATTCATATTTCAAAGTGCAACCTTTCATAGCCCAACAGAGTTTGGGCTGGTTAGGCACATCTAGCTTTCTTATTTCCTTAGTCTAGCTTTATTACATCCTAGAAATTCATACCAAAGGCCATAGGAAAGGACAAATGGTGATTAATATTTAACCAGTCTAAGAGAAAAAAGCGATTTGTGCATATTTGGCAACAGAATTAGGATACATAATATTTTCTTTACACTACTATTTGTTCACAGATTTACTTATGGCCCCAATTCTAAATATAAACATTATTAGTGGTAGTAGGAAAGTAAAGATTTTAGAACTGGAAAGGCCTATTCTGAATTATGTGAGCAGAATACATGAATTGCAGTTGTATTCCTTCCCATGTTGTAGTCCCTGTAACACACAGTATGAAGTTGAAGAGTATATATGAATTTTTCAAATGTGAATAATATAGAGAACACATGGAATTCACAGTGTGTTGCAATTTGAAATGCTGAAAAATCCTGCAGTGTCTTAACTAGATCACGGAAAATCCCCTAAAGCTTCATTGCTCCTACTGATACTCTTGCATCTAATGCTATGTTGTTACATTTTAAAAATGATTAGTAATTAAAAGGAGCATAATTTTAAAACAAAGTGCTTATTTTTAAATATAAAGATTGAAAGAGCTGGCTTTTTTTTTTTTGTACCGGGGATTGAACTCAGGACCTTGCACTTGCAAGGCAGGCGCTGGAACCACTGAGCTACATCCCCAGCCCAAGCTGGCTTATTTTGATCAAACTTAAGAATTCTTAAAGTAGCCTTTTTAGCCAGTGCATGAATGAATACAAATTTTAAAAAAAATTGGAGAGAGCAGTTTTAATATTATGTAGGTACCTATTCAAAAACAAATTATATTCATTCCAAAAGTAAAATATAGCAAAAAATTGAAACTACTATGCTACAGTTTATTTCATGATTGATTTGAAGATGACTAGACTTAAGCTTACTGTCTGCATTTTGGTCTAGGACATTTTTGACAGTGATTGGTACACGTCCCGAAACCTAATTGGGAGAGGTGACATCATTGTGATCAAATACAACGTAAACGACAAGTTTTCATTCCATGAAGTGAAAGATAATTATATTCCAGTGATAAAAAGGGCATTAAATTCAGTTCCAGTCATCATTGCTGCAGTTGGTACCAGACAAAATGGTAAGTTTTCAATTTTCTTTTCATAATGAGCATGCATGTATGAGATTAAGTTTAAAAAAAGCTAAGTTTATTAATGATTAATTGATTTTGTTTGAAAACCAAAATTATTACGGATTCAAATGCCAGCTCTGATCTCTGTTTGATATGATAATATCAGATAATATCAAATATCTCTATTTGATATGATAATAGCAAAAGCGAGGATCCCAAAGTTTTATTGTGATTCTGTTGCTACGTATGTGTCTTAAATTGTTCTTCCACAGCTGTGAAAGAAGCCAGTAATTCTGTTCTTTTGACATATGAAAGATATTAGGCTGATGTTGAGCCCTAGAATCCTCTTTCTGACAGTTAAAGGTCCTCGCTGTTGGAAGGGTAGAGAGGTAGGTGTGGGAACGGGATTTTGAGGTAAATGATGAGAGAAGTGAAAACACGGACAGTAATGGTTGAGGAAAGGATCGTTTCCCCCCAGCCGATGAATGGATTTTTTTTGGTTCAGGTGGTTCCAGTCATTGCTGCTCTGCGTACGATAGTTTAATAATTCAGGGCCAGCTCAGGGTTCGATAAGATTTGGTGGTATTTTACAGATTTTCCTAGTGGCATTTCCTCAGTAAAGCTATCTTTGACATTTTATTTTTATTCATTAATTTTTAAACTTTTTTTTTTTTTTATTGTGACATATATATGCTATGAAGTAAGCATGTTCAGGACAAGGAAAGTACTCAAGAAATCATTATGACTGTTATTGTTGACATTATCATTATGATGACATTATTATTAATGCCATGATTTCATTAATTTTTAAACTTTTTTTTTTTTTTTTGCTGTTTAGCACAGTAAAGGACATGAAGTTCGTTAATCTTAGAGTATAGCTTAGTGCATTTGATCCTGTGCACATATCCCTTGTAATGCTCCTGAAAAGTCCTCCCTCTGGCCTTTTCCCCAGATACTAACCCCTCTCTCTCCTCAGAGGTAACTGCTATTCCCACTTCTAACAATTTACATTAGTTTTACCTATTCTTGAACTTCATACAAATGGAATTATATAGTACCATATGTGGTGCTTATCTGTAGTTTGCTCATTTTATTGCTTTGTGTATTTCTGTATGAATATGCCATAATTTAGGTATCTGTTCTCCTTTTGGTGATACTTAGGAGTAGTATCAAAACTTTGATGTTCCCTAGGGATAGGAATGCTGGGTCATAGGCTTGGTGTATGTTTAGCACTAGTAGATACAAATAAATCGAGCTTGACCTACACTTGACCCTGCATCCTCTCAACTTCCCTGTCTTTTTCTCTTTCTCCCCTCCTCCTCCTTCTCTTTTTCCTCCTCTTCCTCCTCCCCGTCCTTCTGCTTTTTTTTTTTTTTTTCTTCTGGTCATGGTTCTTGAAAGAGTTATTCATACTTCCTGAGTCCACTTCCTATTCCCTCTTCTAGCCTACTATAGTCTCACTTTGAATTTCACATTCACACCAAGTTCTCATGTGGGGTTGCCAGGTATATCCTTTTACTGCCAAATTTAATACACTTTAGTTACAGTTCTATCCTTGAAATTATTCAGACATTCCTCTTACTCCACTTAATAATGTTACTCTTTATTTCTTGGTTCTTCTAATTCTCTCCCACCCCAACAACGAGCACTAACCATTGTGAAGTTGTTGCCTGGGATGCATCCTGTGGCCCTCCTCCTCTTTTTCTAGACCATTAACCTGCTCATTATTTCCTCTGTCAGCACACAGTGATTGTCTGGGCTCTCTTCTGACCCGCATCTCCATCCGCACACTTCTCCACCCACCGATCTCCTGTCTGGATGAATAATGCAGAGCCTCTCCCTGTACTCAAACTAGAATGGTGCTGGACTCACCTTTCTCTCCCACCCCCAACGTTTAGTTGATTAAGAAACTCTTTTGCTTTTACATTTTAAATCTCAAACTCAGCGATCTTTGGGGGCTGTGTAGTTTTTGATTGGTATTTTCTGAGACAGAAGAGTGTGGTCATCAGTTTTCTTCCTGGCATGTTTCTTCACTCTTCCCATCTTCCTGGCCTCAGTCACCAGTTTGTGTTGCATTCCTATTTCAACTCAGCATTCTACAGTCAGCTGCCAAATAATTGTGCACTGTAGGTGGCAGAGATGTCCCTGAAAGTCGTTCCTGTACTAGGACATTTACCAAACACTTAAGTGCACAAGGAAGTGACTGAAAAACACTTCTAAAACTTAGTTTCAAAACCTAAAGTTAAATTTCCCCTTATAGTAGAATCCCCCAGATAACCATGGTTTCTGGAGAGCTGCCTGGTCGAGATAAATTTAATTAGAGTGAAAAGAGACAAATCAAATATAGTTACAATGTCTTAGTTTGCAAATTTGGCAAATCTTATGACCCTGTGAAAGAATATTGTTCAAGTTCTTCCCAGGGCTTTGGAAATGAACAAAAAAGAAAGGAAGGGCCTTTAAGCTTCAGCTTCCTTAGCTTCATGATAAATTGACCTCTGGCCTCTTGTTCTTAGTTTTCCCCATTCTGAAATAAATTCTCTCAGAATAATCATGCTAGAATAAAGGTTAAATTGTGACATCCACAGCTTGGAATTCTTTAGGAACTTCCTTCTTCACTAACTTTTATTTTGCAAAATATCAAACCAAGAAGGTTTACAAGAATAGGACATTGAACCCCCAAATTTATAAATCCATAGGGGAAAGGGGCCTGGAGGCAGGAAAAAATATAAAATAAGGACCTCATTGGGCTTTCTGGCAAATCCTGACTAGGAAGAGTTAAAACTTTACTGCAGAAAGCAATTAACAAGGCAAGAGGAGGTGGATGGGGAAGCCAGATGCTCAACCAAGGTAGCTGCCCCTCACCAACCTCCGGTAAAATGCAGAGGAGACAAGGGGTGGCCACTTAAAAGAAAAGTCTTTATTTAGTATACAAAAATACACACCTGTGCATCTGTATACTCATATATGTACACATATATACATACACACATGTACATATACATACATATATATGTGTGTGTGTATATATGTATTCCCACTCTAGGGCCACTATGTTACTGATAGGTCTCCCACTACCTCAGGAGCTATTATGGATAGTAGCTGCCCTCTTTCTATCGTGCCTTGACCCCTCCCCTGTGTGACATCATGCCAAGATGGTTGCTCCCACCAAAGAACAAACCTTTCTTCCCAGCATGCCCCTGTTCCCGCCTAGAAAGTAACCTAATACTCGCTCACCTCCTACCACTTAGTGACATCACAGGCTCCTCCATTCCCTAGTCACTACCTCACTCAACCCCACCTCAGCCCCTACAAACCCCACCCCAGTCTCTATAAAAGACTCTCCCTGCCCCGGCCATATTGCTTTTGTCTCTCCTTTGTTCAGAGACAGCCCGGCCAATCTATTCCCCTAATAAAGGCTTGTTGTGGCCTGGTCTGGTCTTGGTTTTCAGCCCTTTTACCTGACATTTCCTGCATTAGATAAATCACTAAGTTAACCTTGTAATCTTGTTTTATTTTATTTTATTTTATTTTGAGACAGGATCTGGCTTTGTCATTCAGGCTGGGCTTGAACTCACTATGTATCCCAGGCTGGCCTTGAACTCGTGGCAATCTTCCTACCTCAATCTTCCTAATCCCCAAGGCTGGGATTACAGGCATGTGCCTCCACGCCTGGCCACTCACTCAACCTTGTATGCAAGGCTCCTAAGCTTCCCCTATAAATTCCAGAGATGAGGCCCTGACAAGGACAAGTGGGCCAACTTAGAAATGTGCACATAGACAGTGGGCCCCCAGGGTTAGGGTCAGGGGCCTGGGATCCATCTGTGATGGCCCAGGAGAATCCATCAGGTTATGACATGTTCCAGGTAGGAGGAAGGGCCCTGGCGCCCAATAAAAGCAGTGGGGCACAAAGAGCACGTGGGTCCTCTTATCATTCCAGAGGAGCCTGCCCTGATTCTTATCAGGGTAGCTATCTATTTTCTCCTTTTTCCCTTTTTCCAATAAAATGTCTTCCTTTCCTTAAACTTTGTACGGTAATACCTCAGTTCACAAATGGTTCTGTTTGCAAACAATTCGGTTTGCAAACAGAAGCATTAGACAGTATGTTTTTTTCTTTTTTGATACTGGGGATTGAACTCTGGACCTTGCACTTGCGAGGCAGGCGGCCTAACCACTGAGCTAAATCCGCAGTCCCATTAGGCAGTATTTTGCTTCTGTTGGCAAACTCCGCATTGGGTAACAAACATGTCTGCGACCATCTTCCCCAGAATCATGAAACGAATGAAGTTTGTGAACCGAGGCAGTGCTATATATTGAATTCATGACTGGTGCTGAGTTTATGATCCTGGTGAGCATCTCAGGCAGTGGAGCAGGGGAGCTGCTATGCACACCTCCAGATGCCACAAACCCAGACGTGTGTGGACAAACACACACACACATTTTGTGTGTGAACCATGTGAAGAGAAGTTGTAAATTCTGGGACTTCTTCGCCCCTAATTACTTCAGCATGCATCTTTTAAGAAAAAGGCCATTATCTTTTTAGCCATAATAAAGCATCACTCAAATTTAACATACTGTTATTTATTATACTATTTAAAATATAACTCATATATCCATTTTCCCAATTGTTTCAATAATGTGTTTTATGGCTGCAGTTTTCCAATCCAGGAAGTAAATTATACATTGGATTTATTTATGTCTCTATTGTGCATTAGTCCAGAATGGTTCCCCAGTATGTTTTGGGGGTTCATTTTGTTTTACTGGGGGTGTCTTTCATGACACTGATAATTTTTAAAGAATGGGGACTATTATTTTGCCTATTTTCTTCAGTTGTGATATATGTGTTTGCAAGATAAAATAGTGATTTTCGTATCATTCCTTCTACATTTCTATCCTTATTTGTTGTTATTCTCTTCTGTAAATAGAACTTTCTATTCTCTTCACTCCTACTCTGTTCTTTTAGAATCACTGTGGTTCATGAATTTGTTTTTCAACTCAACATCTTATAATCT